TATTTGTTTCAACAGGCGAAGTTATCTCAAAGGGTAAAATGTTTGCGGTGGCTGTTCATTTTTGTCTAGCAAAAGGCATTTTCAGTGCTATTTGTCTTCATTTGCATTGCTTGCCAAATACTTCAGGGCAGAGCGACCATTCATATCAGAAAAATAAAAATGGTTGCCCTTCAGCTGTCCACCAACAAACCCTTGGATGTTTTTCCTTTTATAGTTTTATTAGTATTTCTCTTTTTTTCACTCTCAATTTAAAACATAAAATAGCTTTTTTTAGTCAAGTTTGTGCTCTATTTGGGTCAAGAAAGGACATGCCATGGGAAAACCCAGACAAGAAAATTTAGATTTGCTCTGAAAGTTAGTCTGCCAAAGAGCTCATTCAAGCCCATTTCCAATCCGTCGAAATCGAGGCACCAATCAGAAACGTTGGTGACGCCCCTCTGGAAATGACTTGATGCTTTGCCAGACCATAACTCAGTTACAACTCCAGGCTAACCAGGCTATAAAGGACACCGAATAGCAAGATGTTGTAGTGGTGGAATACATTAGTTCTGGCATTACTGTTGTTGACAGTTGAAGTTTGTGTGCCTTTGGAAGAAAAAAATATGGGGTTTATTACTCAATAAAAAGAAATAGAACCTCAAAATCACTCAGGTTGGAAATACAGTATTAGTCAAGAAGGTTTGCAAGGCACTATTCTTTGTAAAGCTGTATTGGAACAATGCATATTGGGGAGGTGTGATCGATATGTTTCATTTTAGGTGAGCACTTAGATGTAGGAACCACCCTAAGAAAAAGAAACTTGAAACAACTCCTACAGTAGCAAACCATCCTGCAATTCAGGTTTGAATCGATGTTGACTGCATAATATGTTTTTAACCATCCAATTAATTTGTAACATAGCGTCATAAGATCAGATATATAGCTCTTTCCCCTTACAAGTGTTGCACTAAAGGAGGCCAGAAATAGATTTGAGCGACATTAGCGTGAGACTGTTTCACATATGACAACTGGTGCTGTTTGCATATTTTACTGTGTTCTCAGAAACTTTTTGCAAGTAACTACTTACTAATTGGCTACAAAAAAGTTGTTTCTCTTCTTTTGCTTGCTGACAAGAACTTCTCTGCAGTCAAAATAGTCACTCCATTGCCCTTGACTGAATAGGCCGTATAAAATGGCTATAACGCAGTGACATAATTTTGTTAATCCGGCTGTTTCCCCTTCAGAATGAACTTGTGTGTAGCCTCAAAATAACCATTTCCCTGACCATGACTGAATAAAAGGACAGACTTTTTTTATTACAATTATAATCTGTAAGCACTACACATGAAAATCCATATAAACATTGATGCTCGTAGATCAAGAATTAGATAACAAAGCTAGCTCTCACAAACTACACAACCCAAAGCCAGTGGTAGGGAAAGGTAGTTTTAAAAGTAATAGGCCAACGTTACAATATTGAATTGAAATGGGGAGCAATTTTACTTTTTCCAACCTTTTTACACCAAAAGTGAAATTAATAAACCTCGGGCTATAAAGGAAATGCAAATTCACGCCTGTACAGTAGAGGGCGCCGCTCAAACAAACCGTTCAGCTGCGCCGTCATTCTGGATCACAGAAGAATAGGATGCAAGAAAGTTCAACTCTTATTTCTTTAAATGTACACTGTGTAGTTTAAATATTTTATTAGCTAAAATCAATAAATATGTCCTCATTGGTGTAAAATTACCTCTGCCAATGATCTGACTTATCCTCTTAAGCGAATCATTTCTTATCTTTAATTACATGGGACGGGTAAGTCCAAGTAGGCTTCACTTTCGTTCCCCCATCATGAAAAACTATATTAGCAAAGAGGGACGAAAAGTACTCTCCTACCTAAACCAGCGTCACATGACTGAAACCAGTTGAAACTGACATAGAGATCAGTGAGATGTGCTTGTCACTGCCACGACAAATTTGAAAGGCTGAACTGCTTTCAAATTCATAATGCAGGATCATCCTTATGCAGAGCCACAGGAGAAGGAATCCTCATCTCAAAAAAAAGCCAAAAATTTGATATAAAAGGAAACGTGAATGGCGATTTAAAAAAAAAAACGAAGTTAAATATCGGGATAGCTTTTCCCAGGTGGAAAGAGCTAATGAAGGAGAAAGACTTTTGAAAGGGACGCTTAAGTTGCTTGCTTTCTTCTCGACAGGTAAGTCAATGTTACGGTCTAAATGTTAGGGCTTGGTTGTGTAATTCATTATATAGGCAGCAGTAGAACATGTACAGTTAAACTCGATGAAGTGCTATTGGAAGACATGTTGTTGTAGCTTCTTGTTACATAATGGCTTTCAACACGCATTTGAAAAAGCGAGGGGTGTAGAAATATAAAATAAAAAATGAAACACAAATGTGATGTCTATCTAAAGTCATTTTTGATAGTATGGTTGAATTGGATCATTGAAGGTGAGCAGCAAAGATATTCGTTAATAAGTTTAGACTAAATACATAAATTTGAATTGAGGAACTTCGAATCTGTTTTTGTTTAAGTTAGATGAGTAAATGACTGCTCATATTTAGTCTTGAACTACATCCATCATATTCACATGACCTCTGCACACACGATTTCTCTTAAAGTGGAGCGCTGTCAGTCATTACAGCATAGTAACTTGTGTTACTACTGTAATTTGAAAAAGTAGCTCAGAATTTAAGAGTAATGCATTACTTTAGTAGTTGCTTAAAAGTAATCTATATATCTAGATATACTGCACACATCACAGATCCAGCCAGCATTAATCTTCATTTCCATTTGCACAATAAAAAAATCATTAGAAGCTACAGCTGTTTCCTTATTCATACACTACCAAAGGAAAGAAACTCCAGGCCTACTCAATTATTCTTAATACTGCAATGACACTGAATACTTAATGAAAGTCATCTTTTTTACTTTCCCCATTGTTAAGTTTCCCTGTATACCTACTGAGAACGAAAAAAAGACCATATATATCGAGTCTACTATGCTATTCATACAGCACAACACTGGGAAAATTCAATTAAGGAATATGATAATGGCAGCAGCTCTGAGTCAAAATGATTGAGTTCAGCTAGTGGGACATACTGAAGTTCGTTTCCCTGAGGTTACTTTCTCCCCGTATCTGTCCTGAAAGTTTTCAGTGCTTGACTGTCATCTCACCAACTAATGTGTCGTGTTACAGAGTACATTGTTTAAATTAGAAAATGCCCTCAGATTTTACCTGAAGGCAAGAAAAACATCTGCTCAGTAAAGCGAGGGAGGGGGGGGGTATAATGGGGATGAGAAATTATATCTGAAATGTAGTTGCTCTGATTTGATATACTGCACAGGAGAATAGTGGAAAATGCTCATTGTAGTTCAGTGCAAAATAGTCATTAGTAAATTATTGGAAGGAAGGAAGGAAGGAAGGAAGGAAGGAAGGAAGGAAGGAAGGAAGGAAGGAAGGAAGGAAGGCCTTGCAAAATAGTCATTAGTAAATTATTGGAAGGAAGGAAGGAAGGAAGGAAGGAAGGAAGGAAGGAAGGAAGGAAGGAAGGAAGGAAGGAAGGGGAAGGAAGGAAGGAAGGAAGGAAGGGGAAGGAAGGAAGGAAGGGGAAGGAAGGAAGGAAGGAAGGAAGGAAGGAAGGGGAAGGAAGGAAGGAAGGCCTTGCAAAATAGTCATTAGTAAATTATCACAAGGAAGGAAGGGAGGAAGGAAAGAAGGAAGGAAGGATGGAAGAAAGGATGGAAGGAATGAATTCCTTCCTTGCAATATAGTCATTAGTAAATTATAACAAGGAAAGAAGGAAGGAAAAAGGAAGTAAGGAAGGAAAGAAGGAAGGAAAATAGTCCTTCCTAGCAAAACAGTCATTAGTAAATTATCACAAGGAAGGAACGAAGGAAGGAAGGAAGGAAGGAAGGAAGGAAGGAAGGAAGGAAGGAAGGAAGGAAGGAAGGAAGTTTATTAAATATAATAGTAATCTAAATGTGACATTTGTGATTCGAATTTAGTGTTGAAGGTTCTTAAAAGAGTTATCGGAGCATTTTTTTATTATGATTATTCAAAACAGTCCCTTTAAATGTTATAAAGTGTGTAAAGACATCAAAAAGCCTAATTTGTGAAAAAGCCAAAATTTGCAGATTTTTAATTAAACTAAAAATGTATTGAAATTTTAAAAGTGCATTATAATTTCCTTGTTCTGCACAATTGCCTAAAAAACGGTCTCATATTTGCAATTTTGACATAACATGCATGTCATTGTGTAATAAGTGGGTTTCATTCAGTTATTCTGTCAATATCTCTGCTAGTGTGTTTCAGGTAACAAACAAGACCTCTGCATCACCTAAAAATATCCCAGCAGAAGCACACACACATCCAGCCAGCATAAGCTGATGTGCTGTCTGGTTTGTGATGGTCTCAAAGCCAAGCTGGTGTTTAGCTGACTTAGACAGTCGACAAGTCAGTCCACTCACTGACCAGCATGAAAGTGGCGAAAATCCCTTTAAGAACACACAGCAGACCAGCTGGCCAAGAGAGAATTTAAAGCTGGTTTAAAGTGTGTGTTTTTATTTTTTTTATTTTTTTACTACAGCAGGGATTCCAAAGCAACACAGTTGACGCTTAACATTCAAAAGCATGAGCAGGTGAGCCAAAATCTCAACATCACAAACAATCATAAGTGGGAAACGTGTTGCACATAAGTGTCCTCATTATACCAGGGTTAATAAAAAAAAAACCATGTCATTAAAAAAAAAAAAAGAAGAAGAAGAAAAAAAAGAAACTGCCGTGAATCGCATATGAAGCAATCTCTTGGACATCAACAATGGACATCTGTTCGTCTCTGCGCCCCAAACCCCTAACACAACCTTTACACACAAGCACTTTCGGAAACACTCGTTCCGTAGATCACAGTGTAGGGATATAACTTCGAAAGATCTCAGCGGTGTTTTCACAGCTTTAACAAATTAACTGCGTGTGTTTTGTTATTATTATTTATTTCCACTTACGCTGCTGTTTTGGCCGGACCAGTGCACCATGGCTTGGTTGTGAGCGGAATCCCCTGTCAGTGCAAATGTAGAGCTGGTAAGTTTCAGCTCCTCCTGTCGTGAAGTGGCCGTTCTCCGCTCTTCCCTGCTCCACCTCGGCTCAGAGCGGGGGACTCGGCGCGCAGCTGGCGCGGTGCTGTTGCCAACAGTCGGCGCAGAGCGCGCACCTGCGGGCGAGCCGGGTCCCTGGGTGCTTCTACGCACTCGGTGATGGTGATCTCCAGGGGCTGAACCTTGAGAACCTTCCCGTTTGAGATTATAAACTTTGCAATTACTGCGAACCGACTTCCGTTTATCATCTGGAGGCGTTTTCTCTGAGAGAAGCCTGTCTGTATTCCTTTTAAGCCCAGAGTGAGCGTGTTCGCCGTGTTCGGTTGCTCCGCAGTCGGGCTGAGCAGTTTCAGCACCAGCCGAATTAAACAGCGCCGTTGACCCGTCTCCATTTTCCCCACTAACTTTACCAGAGTCGACACCACTCTCCATCCTCACCAGTAATTCCCGACCGCTCCACTTATCCAGCAGGTGACATGACCTGCAAGTTATCACTGTTTTGGTCACCGGAACCCAAGCGAACAAAACCAAAAGCAGGGTGCAGAAAGCACTGACATTAACCCGGCAATATCTGATCCCCCTCTCCATCGCTGATAACAACAGGATACAGTGTCCTTTTCCTCTGTTTAGCGTCAGTTATTAATGGAAACAAGTCCTCGTACAAGTTGCAGCGCGGTGAGGCAGCCACAGTTGAGATGTTGTGGGAAAAGTGTGATTCAGCGAAGCGCTCCAACTTGAAGGATTTGATCAAATGAAGCTCTGCACGCACTGAGGGGAGGAGCTCGGGGGATTACAGAGGAGAGCAAGACCATAAAGACACGATTCTTTCCAGCGCCACAACATTCAAATTCACCCAGACATTTTTCCAACAATGCAATCTGCAAGAAATTATAAATTGACGCAGTTGGAGTGATTTCGTTCGTCGCATTGATTCTCGGTGACGGAACTTTCAGTCGAACGAAAAAAAAATTCACTCAGAGCTTGAGTAAATTTTATCACGGGTAATTCGCGTACTAATAGCCCGAGAGAGAGGAGGTTTGTCTGGATGTGGGAGTTATTAGCTGTACATACAGCTAGTTATTAGCCTACTAAAAAACATTTCGCAAATTAAATGACGACTTAAATTAATTTCTGTTAGAAATTTACTCACAGTCTCGGAAACGAATTGTCAAACCATTTTAGTGGTATTGTGACATGTAACATAGCCTAATGTTGGAAAAAAAAAATCATCGTTTAGGTTACCATACGAACGCTACTTTTATCGTTCATAGTGTTCTGACGAACTTATAAACTGTGGTGGTTCATGAAACGACCTTATTATAAAACTGGTGGTTAATGAAACTAGAAACAGCCTACTCGATAGTTTTAATATAAATAACAAGCTTTTTCTATCTGACATCCTAAACGCCCCATAATTAGAAACGGATACCGAGGATTTACCAAAGAATTTCAATTCGAGATTAATTTGATGTTCTCGCACGTCTCGGGTCAAATTCACATTCTTCACAGCATCCTTTGGATCGATGAGAGAATTGCAAATGGATCTGATGCGCATCAATCAGGTTTTTGTGTCTATGTGCTCCAATTTCAAGACAACAAACTTAACAAATTAACCTATAACTAATTCCAAGGCAGACCTCGAAATACAGTTTAGCCTATAGGCTGCACAAAGACAAAATAATAAAATAAAATAAAAATTAGACACCACAGGACACAATCTTCTACACCTCACCAACTGCAAAATGCATTAAATGGGTTATGCTGAATGCAATCCATACCTTCAGGACAGGGACTCTCAGATTGGAGAGAAAACTAGATATCCTGCTGCATCAAACCATTAGTAAACATGTCTTTAAAAATAAGAAATAGTCATTATACAGATTAATTCGCCAACCCATGTTACACATTTCCTTTCCATAACTTATAGGAAAAACAAAGTTTTGGTACTCATATACATATACACAGGATAGAGCTCATTAAAACATTTTCTCACTCTCACACCTTTGCTTTAGAACTGAACTGAATGCCCACTTTAAATAAAATCTTTGTTTATGTAGCAAATGTCAGTTCCAAGAGAAGCCATAAGATTATCTCTCGCTCCCACGCTCATCTTCTTTTATAATGTCCCTGATAAGAAAAAATGTTTTTCACTAAAAATCCTGGCCAAAAACATAAAATATTAATAATAATAATAATAATAAAATTGAAAAAAAGGCAAATGGTTAACAGACTGGATCATTATTGTTGTGATTATTATGATTCATGTTATACTATACAGTTATTCTAACCCTAATAGATGGAGTGTGTATTTCATATCTTAAAGGGGTCATGAACTTATTAAAATATAATACATTTTATTATATTGTTGTTTGAGGTCAACTTATGAGGTTTGCTTGGTTTTTGCATTCAAAAACATCAAAATGAATAAGTAATAGGCTATACCCTAGTTTTGAGCCTAGCTGAAAAACGCTTGGTTTTGGGCGTCTCGCACTGAAGACTTGGAAGTAAACACCCACTGCTGTGAGTGGATAACAGTTTTGCATATTATAATGAGTTTCAACTCACCCGTCGATGCACTTGGGGGAAATTTTTTTGAAAACGTCCAATGTTGTAAAATGGCAATCGGAATGATTCGCCCATATGTTCGAGCCAGAGCCCGTGTGTTGCACCATTCCTGTCAGATCCAATATAGACGGCACAGCAACGTTCTTTAATCTAAATCGGTCTGCAAATCCAGTCTTGTTTATAAAACAATCCTCAGTGAAATGAACCGAACAGACGGACAATGTTTTACCCTCATCAGATGGAATGCCATTAAAAATAAAGTTTATCAACACAGTCCTATTGGAATCCAGAGGAAGCGACTGTCTTCTTCCATAACCAGGCGCTGCACGATATTTTGTATTGATCCGGTTTGTCATCACGAGGTAGGCATCTATGTTATTTAGCTATGTGTGGAATACAGGAATCGGTGCGTGGGGCTAAACCCGCCGTGTTGAAGTAGGTGTTGATCTTCTTCTGCGGGGGTGGTGTTTTATCCTTTTTGATATCATAGTTCCCCACTTTGAAAAACGAGTCATTTGCTGGGCCTGGTGTCAATAAAAGCTTTTATTGGACTAACAAGGACGTTTTCAGTTCTGAAACTTACAGGATATTCTTATAATATGATGACCTCTTAAGAAAATTTGATTTCTCAGTTCATCACCCCTTTAAATAATCATGTAGGAAAACACATCATGGTCATATTCCAGGATGACAATATCAAGATTCATACACTTGTGTAAGAATGGTTGGGAGGAGCATGAAGAATCATTTTCATACATCAAGTCCAGACCTAGAATTCATTGAAAGTTTTTGGGATGTGCTGGATGAGACTTTACAGAGTCCCGGACCAAAAATTGATTCACCTCTTGATGGAAAGAACATCAAGTCATTTATTTGCATTGCACTTCAGATATTTTGCACATACCCCCTGTAATCATTATTAAATCACATTGAGCAAAATGTCAAATCATAAAACACGTTACGTCTGAAATTATGAGATCCATTCAAAGTTCTAATAAAAAACATGTTACTGTAGACCAAATGACCTCAAATATGACCTCAAAGTTAAGGCTAGATTTTCAGGTGAATACAACATGCATACATTAATTGTTTGTGCATGTTACTATCTATCCCTGTCTGCCTCTGTGTCATTACTATATGAGTTAAATCCACCGCCTTGTCATTCTAAAAGCATTAAAATGACTAACAGCAAGACAGGCCTAGACTCACATATTAAATAGATATATTGCGTTGGATTAATAGCACAGCTATAGACAGGCCTCCAGAGATGAGAACACACTCATCACTTTCTCTCTTTCTCTCCCCCTCTCTTTCCAGAGGTGCTCAAGAAGACATCATGGTCCATCATCTTATATCTCCCCCCCCCCCCCCCCCATGCACATCCCAGAAATCAATGCTATTTAAATGCGATCTACCCGACACATCTGTTAAAACCAATGGGGATATTTGAAGGCCTCTCTCTGCGAGTTGAGAGCAGGTAAGAGTGATAGAAACTCATGGCACATAATAGCACTTCCTGGAACAGATCTCATGGATTTATATGACTTATTTGACGGACAGAGGGCTGAATGTCACTGCTGAAGTCTCTTTATTTTGTGCTTGCAGTCAACTGGTTTGAAAAGCAGCGTCTTTCTGGGAAACCAGACACTTCTGCTGGGATTTGTCAAATTCGCACTTAAAATGAGCCGTGTCATCGATTCCAACAAGTTCTTCTATTCTGCCAGGGAGAATTCTGGGAGTGAAAGTTTCATGGTTTGGATTCTTGTCAAATTAGGCACAGGTTTCAGCCTGTTGTCATTGGCGTTCCCAGGGTAACGGGCTATTACAGGAACAGTCGCAGATCTCATGAAAGCCAAAAAAGACACAGATCATAGCAGAAGACCAATAGAACTCGCACTTTTGATTGGTGCTCAAAGCAAGGACGTGGTTTTAGTCTTGGCTGCCAATGACTTGTATAGGAGCAACAGTTGAGAGGCCATAATTAGCTAGCACATGACTCACAGAGGCTTCGCATCAAAGAAGAAACTGAGAACAAAGCAAAAAAAAAACTGGGAAAAAGGAAGAAAATACCAGCCAAACACCCAAGGGTAATCTATATCTGCAGTAAAACCCCGTTGGTTCCCTTGTCCCGACGAGATTGTTCTTTTAATAGAGCTATTTCCTCACATTATTTGGTAGTCTTTCTCTGTAAGATCCAGTGGGAAGGTCAGGAACAATCTCAGAGCTGGATCTCATCCTCTAATACTTAAACTGAGTTCGGGCTCTTGATGCTTGCACTCTCTTTCACTCCCTGTAATCATTGATAAAAAATGCATTGCAGAATCTCACCATAGATATATACTAAAGGTTTAGGTTAGTATTTAAGTCTTGATTAGAATGCAAGTCACACGTTCTGAATGGCATTTAAATGCTTTGGGCAATTACTTGAAATTCAGTTCATGCTTGTCTATAAAATATGGGGGGGAAAGATCAAATAAAAATTCTACAAAGAAGGCAGATGCTATTTGCACCCTGGTGTAAATAGTGGGAGATGGCATTTGCAGCATGTTGTAAATAACAAAATAAATACTGTATGCACCTACTAAAATAGAATAATTGGTTTGAGAAAAATTGGATTATTTGGGTAAAATAAGTTTGTGTCATATAAAAGGATTGATTTTATTAGTGTTTTTTGGACTGGAGAGAGAGAGGGAGAGAGAGATCAAGCACTAAATTGCTTAGATGTTTCGGTTTAGCCATATAACATAATTAGTTGTTCATGTATTAGTTAGATACGGGGTGGCTTTTCTTCTTTGCAGTTGAAGTGTGATCTGTTGGATCTGGTGAGTTATCTATTTGTTTGTTCAAATATTCTTTTAGTAACAATAAAATAAGGCAAAAATGGAATTGTTACAGGACATATAATGGACTTCAATGGTCCCCACTCCCCAACCATTTCAAGGTCCAAATGACAGTTTCAGTGCAGCTTCAAAGGGCTTTAAACGTTACCAGATGATGAATAAGGGTCTTATCTGGCAAAACAAATGGTCATTTTTTAAAGTTTTATCAGCACAAATGCTCGCCTTGCTTTGTTCTGTGATGCGCGTCCGTGACTCAAAATTAACAAATCTTTTTTTGAGTCATTTCGTTTGCTGAATGAATGAAATGACTCGCTCATTTTCATCAAAAACCTTAATTTCTTTTCGACTGAAAAAAGAAAGACATGGACATCTTGGATGACATGGGAGCGAGTAAACTATCAGCAAATG